CTATCTGCCCTTTCTTTGTCAATGCACATTGTTAAATGGGGTGTCCCACAAGATCACTAGATGTATACTCGTGGTGTACACATTTATTCAAGTGTCAGATCTATACCGTATCAATTCTATGGACTATCATAGAAAAAGCCAGCACCAGGAAGGTGACTGCCCACTTTTAAAATAAGATTTTCAGTCACCCATTGCACCGTCTCCAGTAACAGATCTTTCCAAATGTGATCTGGATTTTTCTTCAGGTCTTCCCAGTGCAAATTCCATCCCACTTCCTAGTTACTGGGGTGTGGACTCTGGAAACTCCTCACTGGTTGGACTTAGCACAGTACAATGAGAAATAGGGTGGTGGTGACATTGTCAATTTAGTACAGGTTGTCCCTCACACATCTAATGTGCCCTCCTCCTGCAGCCAGAGTGGAGTCAAGGTGAGCACACACTCTACAGTCTGATCATGTCCAAACCTCACTACACATATTGGCTTGCCTACCACTTGTGTGCAGCTGCACAGTTGTTCATGATCACATACCACCCTTCCCTGTGAAACTTCAGGCACTTTTGCCTTTCCCTCCTTTTCATCTCAGGCAAAGAGTGTACCCTAGTCGAGATAAAATTCGGTCTCCCATGGGTGTGCCCTTATAGAACCCTTGCCATTGGGTATCACACTCCATGGGCTTTACCTTTGGGCACATTCTGAAGGGAGCTCATCTAGGTAAAATTTTGCAATGTCTCCTCTACCATTTGAACATGGAATTCTAGCATTACTGTGGGAAGAAATGAGTTATTGTCTCAGAAATTAACATTTTCCTAATCTAAAAACGTATTCCCAATAGGTACTCACCTCTTAACACATTCCCACCCGTCCTTCCCACTTCCAGTGTACCTTTTCTTCTTGCCTTGTCTAACTACGAGTGAAATTGTCACACATTCAAGTGCATAGGGGAACTTACTGCACATGGAGATTGTGTCATCCTCATGTTTGTAGTGGTTATTGTCGCATGATGATATCATCATGCACCAGCACAGTTCACGTTAAACACATAAATTTAAGTGGGAGTTAGTTCAAGGCTAGTGGAATACAAATCTCCTTGACAGATGCACAAGGAAAATAGCATTTCTGTGTGTAGAGGTATCTATCAGAAATACGTTTTCAGATTAGGAAAATGTTAACTTCAAATAATCTTATACTTCTGTATAATGTCCTTAATTACACTCTTTTCAGTGTGTCTGGTTCTCTTCTTTTTCATTATAACACAACATGAATCTTGAAACATTTAACTTCAATAATAATTGTAAATACGAAGTGTTTGATTCTTTTTTCCATTTCATCTGTAGTTGAGTATTATCTATTGTGAAAATGTTTAAGCAGAAGAAATCAAAAATATTTTAAAGAATTTAAATACTTTGAATCTTAAATTTCTGACCATTTGATAGCATTATAAAAGTATGAAAGATCAGTCATAGAATTTGCAAAAATTTTTTTAGAACAAATTTAGTACCTTAATGGTAATTGACTAATACTTTATTGGCTGCCTTTTGGTGCTAGTAGGACGAGTTAGCTCATGTACTGTAATGTTTTTTCCTTGTGGTTGGAAATATGTAACAAGCAATCATGATACATTATGGGAATTATATTGCTATGTAACAACACCAGTGAAAGTAAACTTCTGGGGCAAAGTTTGGTTAGATAAGATATCATTGATCAAATAGGTAGAAAAAGTCTAAAAATCGATTTGGTGTTATGGTATAAGTGACAACAAAATCAGTAATTATTATTGAGGAGAAATGTTAAAATGTGTCCTCATCTGTTTTAATGAAATAAGAGGTGGAATTGACAGATTATTAACAGGGGGATAGTATTTCAACATTATTAACCAATACAGAAGCTGGAATATCTTACATAATCTTAATTGGTCCAGAGATTTATACTTTGGTACCATATACCTACACAGTAAGTAAAATGGACCAACACAACTGTTGTTGGTCTAGTAGCAGTTTTTGTGAATATCAATAGTTGCTTGACAGAAACTTGGGCTTCGGTATCAGTTACTTGAAAGATTAACAACATTGGTCTACTTTACATTTTAATACTTCATCTGTCTACAAGATTATGTAAGCTCCAAAGTTATTCTCAAATATATGTAATTTAAAACTGTAGCATAGTTTCAAAGATCCATACCATATTGAGATGCTCAAATCAGATATGTAAATCCTGGTTAAAAGATGCAAGAAACTATTCATATTTTAGCTCAGGTCATATCTCTCTCTTTTTTGATATCTTGTATATCTGAAAGATTATACTGAACAATACAATTTAGTAAGCTCCTCTGAGTTAGAATCACGTGTTAACATAATTCATAACAATGTAGATTCACTTAATATAGCTCCCCCCCCCCCCCCCCCACGTGGCATGGCAGTATGTCTGTGTACTTACAATGCTAGAAACCAGGTTTTGATACTTGTGATGGGCAGAGCACAGATAGCCCATTGTGTAGTTTTGTACTTAACTCCAAACCAATAAACAAATGACTTAATATAGTTTTATCTTTAAAATGTGTCCAAAATGATTGTTACACATAATTTTTCAAGTCACACACTAAGAGAATGTGAAAAAAATACCTGACTTATCAAGAAGTCTAAATTTTTCTATACCTCATAGACAGTTTAAAATAAAATATTCTCATACACCTTTCTGTTGTTACAACAATCCTTATCTAATCAAATCTTTTCTGATACTTGAGTATATATGAATTTAAAGCTTTGAAAAAAATCTTAGTAAGACCTTATCATTACAAAACTGGATGAAGATAACAAGCATTATTATATTAAAAATCTCTTGATATTGTGCAAGAAAACAAAATTCAAAGTTTGTTTGCTCATTTCACACTAACATACAACTCCAAGCTATAAAGATATTGATTTTTATGGGACTCCAATAATTCATAAATACAATTGTTTGGTGAAACGTATTGTATCGAAGATTGGCACATATACACACACTAATAAGCTTGAGTTATAATCCAGTTCCTTAAACAGTTCACAATTGATTATTGATTTACTTTACCAGCATTCTTATAAAGCAATACCTACTCCACATGTGGTAGTCAGGTGTACTAATGCCCAGCAGAAAATGCAGGTTCAGGACTGTTGAGTGAAAAATTAATTGTACATGGACAATAAAGGTTTGTTGATTTGTTTGTCAAATATCATTTAAAGCTACTCAAAGGCTACCTGTGATAGCCGTACCTAATTTTAAAGTGATAAACTAGAATTAAAGGTTGAGCATGTTCAGTGATGGGATTCAAACCTGCAACCTGCCCTAACCAACAAACCATACCAGGCCTGACATTAAAGGAGAAAATTCAAACTTAAGTGTAGTTTTAAACATGAAATTCTTCATTTTACAAACACATGGTTCTATTAGCAAAACTGGCCAGGCTTCTTCTTATCATCTTGCTCTTGGAGTCAAAGGCAAGAAAACAAGACAGAACTATGGAACTACCCAACTCAAATACTGTGATGAAACAAAGAACATCATATACCCCACAAGTTCACAGATTATATATATGTTTCAACCAATGGTCTACATCCAGTCATAAACCAAGTCAGTTGTACAGGGTTTTTTTTTTTTGCCTGCTTCAATAGATTACCTTCCAGGAAGTCAATACAGAAAATCACATACACACTAGCTTGAGACAAAAGGTTGCAGTATGTAGCCTTTACTTGTTCAAAAGGGTTAACACATGTTTACAACCTTAAGACATCCAAGCAATGAGTGTCATAATTACATACAAAAACTGCATGGAAATTGAGAAATATTTAACATGAATAAAGAGATATTCTATAATAGTTATGGAAGGGTAAATTAAACATTAAAAACATGTATTTGCAATCAGCTGTTATCTTCTGAAACCAAAGAAACACTTTCAGTTTATTGGATCTATCTATGATTAAACTGATGATATTAGTATAGCATCACCATTAGTACCAATAATTTCTAGTCATTTTTGTTATATCAATAATAACATTAGCCAAAATAATGCCCAATAGCATTTAAACTGCCAAAATACTACAGGTTCATTGATGATACTTTCATAATTTTCAAGTAAGTTAAACATATTCAAGCTTTTATAAATCAATAACATGGAAATATTAAGTTTATAGTTGAAAATAAAAGCAAAGTACCTTTCTTAGATACTCTATAATAACAGTTTAATACTAGATTATTTTAGAAAAAATCTGATAATATCATAACAAATTGGTATTTTCCAGATATTTAATTTATCGATTGACAGTTCAAGTGCTAGCACCCCCTCAAGAGAAGTAAAATTATTTGTCCACGCTAAAATTCCCTTTTCTTCCTTATTTTGGCAATAAGTGGTTTCCATCTTTAAAAATTTACTTGCAAGTTCACCTATGAAGTTCAATTTAAAAGGAAACAAATGTGTAATTTTGAAAATAAAATGACTACAACAATGCAGTTGCATGATATATGCATACTTAGCTTGGCTCAACCATCCACATGTTGTCATGACATCAGTTGAACACGTTGTATTTAATAAAACTAACACCACTCATTGTAGATCATCAATTGAGAGGAAGTAGAAGGCCAATTATATTAAATCACTTCAAAATAGTAAGTACAGCCAGTTATGTAACAAGGAAACTGTCCTTATTCACTTCATTACCAGCTATAAATGGAAAATTCAGTGTCAAAGTGCTTCTACTTACCTGTCTTACCACATAGAGCAAATTGGACCAACATAATTACTATTGGTCTAGAGATTCTTTTGAGTACCAACAGTGATGTGAAAGCTGAGTATAAATGGAGAATATGTTAAATATCAGATAAACTTTCACTGGTTTTTCAGTAGGCAAAAAATAAGGTATAATTAATTCTTAATTATAAATATACACTTTATTCTTGAAAATCCTTTGTTTCCAAAACGAAATTAAAGTTAAGATAATTTCAAATCACTAATTATATGCTCTTTCTTCAGGTGTTGCATATGAGAGAACTCCTAAAACGTGGACTTGGGGTCCATCACAGTGGAATTCTGCCAATATTGAAAGAGGTTGTAGAGATGCTGTTTCAGAAAGGGTTGGTCAAGGTAAATAAATTGAAAGCTTCAAAAATTTGTATTTATTTTGTTTGATGTTGCCATGTAAGAAGATTGGTGTTTTTCAAATTTATTAGTGTAAACACTATTTTTATTATAAACAAGTAATAAAATATTACGCAGAAAAAAGCCTTCATTATTTACATGGAATAATTCGTAAGCTTTATAAGCATCTAGGAAAACAAAGTAATAAGTGAAATAAATGTATCCTTAACACTGATAACAAAGTCTAACTTGTATTTAGTATGAAAGACCCCCTTTAATCAACAAGATTGGAGTTTATTTATTCAGGTGTTTTCAGGATCACTAAATGAAACCTGTGTGATTACGTAAGTTGTACTAATACATTAAAAATTATATAATGGTATGATTTTTCAAAGAAATGCCAAAATAAAGAGATTTGTTCATAAGAAGAATATATAGAACATTTATATTGGCTCCATGTAACTTGTTTGAGAACAGTTGGAGAAATTTTGATGATTAGGGTTAATTCATATGTTCAACAATTGTTTTGCATTTATTGGGTATTTTCGACCAAAAGTAACAAAGTTCACCATTAATGGGTACTATGGCTGTTGTATGTTGCACTCTTGATCTTTTGAGATGTGGTCAGTGAAGAAGAGTATTAGATATTAATTGTTTAGGATTATTTTTTCTATAATTGTAGCTTTTATTTGCTACGGAAACTTTTGCCATGGGTGTTAATATGCCAGCAAGAACAGTAGTGTTTGACTCAATTCGGAAGCATGATGGAAAAACATTTCGTGATCTTCTGCCTTCAGAATACATCCAGATGGCAGGACGAGCAGGCCGTAGAGGTCTGGATTCAACAGGAACTGTGATCATTCTGTGTAAAGGGGATGTTCCAGAAATGTCTGACCTGTATAAAATGATGTTGGTATGCTGACAACTTTTTCTAGCTCTGTAGTTTCTGAAATTTTTATTTGTAACTAGTATGTGTTTGTCATATCTTATTTTCTATATTATTGCATGTGTAGTAATAACTAGAATTAGTTCATATATGCAACATAATTTATCTAAATTTCAACAGGTAACTCATATAAAATTACTAAAACTTTATAATTTATGGCAAACAGAATGTTAAAATCAACATGAAGGTATGAAACGTGACCTGTGCAGTTGAATTATTTGGTGACACTGATCAAATGTGGAAAATTTTAACAAGCGAATTTTTAAATATTCAAGATAAACATATTCCTTATAGAAAGAAAAGGTTGGCTCACAAAGGGTATAAGGGCTAAAATTAAATAAAAGAGTTACAAATTTAAGAAATTTAAATTGACTGGTATGACAGGTGACTAAGAAGATAATACAAAATCAAGAGAGTTGATCAAATGGGAAATAAGGACATCAAAAAGGTTGGCTGAAAATGTAAAAATTAACAGTAAGGATTTCTTTAAATACTTTAAGGGTAAACAAAATGTTAGGATGGGAGTAGGGCCTTTAAGGGATGATAAAGGAAGGCTCGAAATTGATGGTTAAGAGGTGGCTGGGTTATTAAATTCTGCTTTTTCTTCAGTTTTTACTAATGAAGATTTAAGCAATATTCCTCATCCTGAACAGCATGGTAACATTAATTCTGAGCTTGAGAAGGTTAAAGAATGATAAGGCTCCTTGACCAGATAATATTTCCCTAAGAGTTTTGAACGATGCTAAGGATTGGATATGTGAGCCACCTGCTACTATTTTTTGTTAGCCCTTAAATAGTGGGCTGTTCCCAGAGAATTGGAAGTTGGCTAATGTTAATTGTCCCAGTAATTATAGACCTATTAGTCTCATATCAGTTGTGGGAAAAGTTTTTGAATGTGTGATAAAAGATGCTTTACAAAGCCATTTAACAAAGTTTAGATTTTTATTGGATAGTCAACATGGTTTTACTAAGGGAAAATCTTGCCGTACATATCTTTTAACATATTGAAAATATTACTACTTATATAGATGAGGATAAGAGTGTAGATTTAGTGTATCTGGATTTTCAGAAAGTATTTAACAAGGTATCACATAAAAGGCTTGTTAAAAAAATTATATCTGTCGGTGATGGGGATAAATTAGCAAATTGGATGGAAGAGTTGCTGGATGGAAGAAAGACTAGGGCTATAAATGGATTTCACTCAAATTGGATTAATGTCACAAGTGGGGTACCTTTGACATAGATGAAAGAATGGTCAATAAATTACTTAAATTTGCTGATTATATTAAGGTCTTGGGTGTTGCTAACTGTGAAGAGGATGCTTCTGATTTACAAAAGGATTTAGGTCATTTAGTGAGTTGAGCAAATAAATGGCAGATGGGTTTTAATTATAATAAATGTAAGATAATGCATGTGGGTTATCATAATTTGAACTATAAGAATAATTTGAATGAAAATTACCTTACAAGAGTCACTAAAGAAGGGATATTAGTATAATGCTTGATCAGTCTCTTAAGACATCCAAGCAGTGTGCTGTTGCTAGCAGTAGGGCAAATAGGATTTTAGGTTGTATTGACAGAAATATTGAATATAAGCCTAAAGAAGTTATAATTAGCAGTAAATTTAAGGGAATCTGGCTTTGAGTGTTTTATTTTTTTTTAGTTTAATTTAGTTGATGGGGCAGCCTAGATGGACCAATAGGTCCCTTGTTGTCACTAAAGGTAATGTTAAGGGCATCATCTTTATGATGAGCACTTGATATATTTATACAAGGGCTCTTAGATTTTAATTTTAGTTTATCATAACATATGACATGTAATAATGATAATGTATTTTGTTAATAAAGAGATTTGGTTATTTATTTAAGTTATTTGAAGAGTATTTGAAAAGAAAGTTTCTGCCAGTGTTCTTTCACTGACATAACATGAATGTATTCCTTATTAATAATCTTTTTCTTCATCTGAGTTAATTGTTGAGATATTTTCTGATATGTTGCACTTTGAGCTTTTCTAAACATTATGTGCTAAGAGTTAATTAAGTAGATATTGTTTGATAATATCACTTCAGGGAAAGCCCACTAAACTGGAGTCTCAGTTTCGAGTCACTTACACAATGATCCTGAATTTACTAAGAGTGGAAAAGCTACGAGTGGAAGACATGATCAAAAAATCATTTGGGGAAATTTTTTCACAAAAAAACCAAGCAAGTCACCAAGTGAAATTGAAGTCCCTCGGTGAGCGGATGGGATGTCTCCCAAAACTTGACTGTGTAACCTGCAATACTGATATTGAACAGTATTATGAATATCTCCAACAATTTGAAACACTAAAACATGATCTTATGGTAATATATATGCACATTTTTCCTAATTTTTGTGTATGTTTAAATGATTATTGGTGTATATAATAATACATAAAGTAACATTCATTTACTGTTAGTTTGATAGCACAGGCCTGTGCTTGTTTTATTGTCTTGAAATATTTACATGTTCTACAGTAATTCCTGTATGCTGAATCCGAGAATGATATCCATTTTTCTCTATCATGTACAAATTTTTCATAAAACGTCATAACACAACACATAAAAGAAAGACCACAACACCTAGTTTTGAGACTAAAAGACATAGATGTCAAACAAAATTCAGGATGAATGTGGATGCATATTCGTTTGACATCAGTGTTTCCCATTTTCAGTTTGTTTGTATTTTTGTTAACAAACATAATAATAAAAAATGTTCATTGTGGTAAATGAAATAATAATTTGATCTAAGTAAGAGTTTTTTTTCTTTTATATGATAGAAAAAAAATGAATATTATTTTCGAATTCTGCATAGCTGAATTAGTTCAGGAAGTGTTTTAAAATCCATTTGGTTTGCAAGATATAATCCCAGTTTAATGCTATAATTGTATAGTTTTTTTTTACATATTCATTTATAATTTAAACAATATTTTTTACTAATCAATGCTTCATATCTTTTTACTCCATATTTACCACCTGTAGAGTGTTATCACTTCTCATCCTCAAGGTATAAAAGTGTTGTCTGCTGGTCGTGTTGTGGTTGTTCACACAGAACATCATCCAAATGTGATTGCTGTCATCCTTGCCACTAACTCTGATCCCAAGTCAAGGACTTTTACTGTGTTAGCTTTATCAGAGCGATCAACACAAGAAGAAAATGAAATTCTTTCACTGGAGTTAGCCATCAAACGTCCATCTTCTGTAGGGCCACCAAAGTTAAATAGCAATAAGCTTGAAGAGGGAGATAATCTTGAAGATAGCCTGAAACCTTACTCAAGTCATCTTTTTAAACCAGAGGGTGCACCTGGTCAATGCTTATTGGATATTAGCTCCAAAGATCTTCAATACATTACTACAAAAACAATAAAGTTAGATCCTAATAAGATCATAATGGATTGCAAGAAAAGACAGCAGCCTCGTTTCAGGTTGTTTTGGTTAATTATGAAAAATTAAAAGTAATTTTTTAGGTTTAGTTAATTGGAAAAATATTTTTCAAAATCACTTAAACTATACGAATTAAGTATTAACAATGAATAAATATTTTTTATAAATTTTGATACAGACCTTGTTTGCTAAGTATTAAAGAAGCAGCTTCATAAGCTACTTTTGCATCCAAAGACTTATTAAAATCTATGTATGTTTAAAACTTAGTAGAATATTATGATTTTTTTTACTTTGATAGTTGCTGGTTTTACATCTCACCTTGTGTTTGTTTGAGCATTTTTTAAGTTATCATGTATTAGTTCACATTATTGGGTAAAATGCATCTGGAATATCACACAGGTTAAGGAAGTAGGTTTTCATGGTCACTAATCCAAATTTTGCATTGGATTTTTTTTGTGTTTGTGACTCCCTCAGGATCCTAGGGATTCCATGTTATGAACTGTGTTCATTTTCCTGCTCACAAAGTAGCAGGACCAAACTTTACTTAGATACCATGGTTGGGTGTTGTAATGGGTTTTCTTTTTCAGGTACAAAGCCTCTTTATGGTAGCTTTAGAAGTAATTGGGGGTAATGGAGGAACTTGATTAGTACACTGAGGCTTCTGTGAGGAGGGGGGGGGGCTTTGAACCCTGCCTGAGAACACAGATATTTTATGTTATTACAGTGAAAGGAAAAACTTTGTTTGTATTATCATTTTTCATTATGAAAGGCATATAGTATCTTTGCAGACTAATTTCTTGTTGATAGTCACTTATGAACATGCATACAATAATTCGGTGATCCAAGATGAAAATAGATTTAAACAAATAAATACTTCTGTTATGTGTACAGAACACACATACATTCAGAACTTATGTTTGTTAGTGATATTAACTATTTTTTTCACTAGAAATGATCCACCAGGTCCATCAACAATGTCAGCAACTCAAGAAATAGCAAAGATTCACGTTTCTAACATACGACAACTTCCTCGGCTCAATCTTTTGAAAGATCTTAGTCTACGTGATATTGAGCTTGTGGAACAGGTTAAGAAGTTAGAGCAATTAGAAGGCAACTTGGACCAGTTTTTGTGTCTTAACTGTCCAAACTTTTTGGAACATGTAAGATGCTGTATTATAAAGATATTGAATGTCTTATACTTTGATTATATCAGTAATTGTGATTATATAACTTAGCTGTGCATTCAGTGCATATGGTTGTAAATATAAAAGATATTACCTGCCACACTGGTAACAGAATATCAGTAAATTAGATATAAATTGATATTAAGTTCTCACAATTCAAACAAAAAAAAACTTGTTATGTATTTGGAATCTAAAAACATCATGGTGATAAATTGATGTTAATGTTGTATAAGCTATCAAGACTTCTAATTAACATTTCAAGACACTGTACATGCATTCTAAATTTGTATTGTAAACCAAAAGAGAACATGTTTACCATGTCAGATTTAGTAAAGTCTTAAGAACTAAACTAAATAGTCAGCATAAGTAATTTTAATGACTATTCAGAATTCTTTTATAAAGTTTGTGTAAGTCTAGGAATTCTACTTCTCAAAAGTAAATTTTTTGAATATCATAGAATATATTTAGTGGATAGAAACATCAAACCATATTTAGTGGGATCCCTCCAGATGGCTAACATTTAAAATTAAATATTTTGGAGCATTTTCTGCTTTACTTTGTATTACTTTTCTTATCAAAGTTGTAATGAAATAAGTAACATTTTATGAATTATTAGATACATGTTAATATTCCAAAACTACAGATTAAACACAAAATCAAAATTAATTCATGTTTTTAAATAAATGCAAAGTATCTAAGAAAGATATTACATATATTTCAAGATTAACAAATATGTTTTGAACAATGTTTTCTTAAACATCAAATCTAAATTTGATTAACTGGATGTGGTTTTTAATCCTCAACAGTTCAAACATACAAAAGAAGTGATGAAAATAAAAAGAGAAATTGCCAACTTGAAATACCTACTATCTGAAGAAAGTTTACAGTGTCTTCCAGAATATCGATCAAAAATACAGGTTTGTGTTAAGTTATGTTATCAAAACACTTGTATTTTACAAGATAAATTTTTATGAAAACAACAGTAAAAAGTATTTTCCTTTGAATTGGACAGCTAGTCAACAAGTAAATTTATCTGACAAATTGAGATCAAGTCATACAAATTGTTCTTTGTAGATTTTCATATAAAAGTAATGAATAGATGTTAAATGCAGTTTGAGGAATTTTCTCGTATTAACAGTTTATTTTTTAATTTTCACCCCATTCTTATCATTGGGATAACGTTCAAATTAATGTTTTCACTTTAATTTAGAAATAAAGAACTTGATTATTGTAATGGCTGATTTATGAGAAAAGGCACTTTTTTTTACCTTTTTGACTGATGTTTGAAAATTTATTTTATTGCACTGTTTCACTTAAGTTTGTAACATTTATTTTGACTGTAGATTGGTTTAAAGATATAACAATTACATTAAGAAAATGTTTACTATGTCTTTTGGTTCTGAAATATCTCCTTCTAAACATGGTACCTCTGAGAAAATATTCCTCACTTTTTTTTTTAGCAATATTCATGACAAGAAGAGATAGAGAAACTATATTTGGGTTCAAAATTTTTCATATTTAAGCTAATGTCAGCAAAAAATTAAATTGTGTTTAATACCAATATGTATGGGGGGGGGGCAGAACTTTACTAGCTTCTGGGGTCCATAACAAAGAAATCAGACTGATAGAATACATAAAAAAAAATATGCATTAGACCTCCACAGTAGGAAATTTACCAGTCACCTTGTGTACACTATAAAGCATTATGAAATATAAAATTGAATTTGCTGGTCTCTTTGAGTGTGCTCTTAATGAAAGGACTACCTCTGAAGTGCCAACGTTTCCAAACTTTTCTATGTTGAATTCACCTTGATGTCTAACCATTAGTATTGACAAATCAGCAGTATTATTACTAACTCAAGCTTCACTTGACAGTATGGTACTATAACCACAATCTTCCAAGCTTGTTGCCTTATTACTAGTACTGATTTCATTGTGTGCTCAATCACTGGCAAGAACTTCCCATCCTACTCTTCACAATTCATAACATATTCACTTTGCCATGTATTGCTGTCCTGAAAATTGATCAGTGATGTATTCTGCTGCTGTTTCTGATTAGCAAACAGTTGGGTTGCATAACTCTCTCTCAGAAATTGATAAAAGTTTGTATTCATGTGAGTAGTCTGCCTGTAATTGCATGAGCATCTCCATGATAAAAAATGCATTGATTTCCTCTGTTTAAAAAAGAATGTTTCACACCATAAGGAATACAAAGTTCTGGACACCTAGCTCCTTCAAGTACAAAACTCACATGTAACTTCAAAGTCTTTGCTAGCTAAATCAGTTAGCTTACTTGTCACTTAGGGAGGGAGCTGGTAGCATGCATTTGTACATGAATGGCTCTGTTCTTTCCATATTACTCATATATTTTCTTTATGTTTCTTGTATTCATTCATTAAGCCTCTAATACATATTTGATCAAAATATATTCATATATAAACAAGTAGAGCTAATAACCAAAATCGTATTCATTTATGTACTTGTACAAGCAATGTTAGCAGTGTTATTACTCAACAATAGCACAATTTAATTTCATTCTAAAACTTTGCTTACTCTCAGGAAGCAGCTAATATAATATCCTTATTCTTGATAAGGAACAATTACTTAAAGCATAATTCATCATATTTTTCAAGTCAGATAAATATGGCTGGCTTTTTTTTTTCAGGAATTGACTATTAAATTTGATTTATAAAAAAATAACGTCATTCAATGAGTAATGGCAACATTCTACTCATACTAAGTATACAATACTCTTTACGTATGTCCTAATTCAATTAAAACTTAGCAAATCTTTTTTTCTGTTGGCATTGTTTTTGAGCACATTCAATGTAATGAAACTCATTTGTAGTTTAAGGTACAGAATTTTTGTCACAAAGTTGCTTACTCTAATTAATTATGCATTGAAATCCTTGTATATCTTACAATAAAACTGAAAATCATGAAAAATAAGTGTTCTAAGCACACAAAAATGTATAGAAATTTAATTACTATTATAGCTAATTTACACTTTTAAGAATGGAGCTTCATGCCTGTAATGCTTACTATCTGTGAAATGAATGCTTAATGTGTTTAGATTACATAATAGACATGACATTTAAGTATATAGATCCTCTGAAATCATAATATGCAAGCTGTCATAATGTAGCTTTGCCTTAAATGTCTAGTAGTTTTAGTAAGTCCGTAATAAGTTTTTCACCATGTTTTTGTGTTTTCAATAATGCTAGTCATGATGTATTATCTCTATATTCTTGATATCAAGGTATTACAAACATTGGGATATGTTGATGAAAGAAAAACGGTTAAGCTGAAAGGAAATGTTGCCTGCGAAATGAGTAACCATGAACTCCTAACTACAGAGTTAATTCTAGAAGACATTTTGACTCCTTTAGAACCTTCTGAAATAGCTGCTCTGTTGTCATGTATGGTGTTTCAACAGAAAACCGATAATGTGCCAAAGTTAACTAAGACTCTTGAAGAGGTGAGAAAAACTTCACAGTGATCCCTTTCTTCCAAAAATTATTCTAGGTATCACACAAATGTTTGTTTGGTTAACATCTAAAGAAGTTTTCAAATTTCTGGAAAAATTCTGTCCTAAAGACAGTTTTTAGATCTGTTAGTTTAACTTGGGTATCTAACCAGTTTTGCATACACGTAACCTAGCAAAACATTATGAATCAGTTATTCACATGTCCTGCTCAAGTACAGTTAATAGCTTCTTTCTTCTACACACTGATTGAAGATTAAGTTCTGCACCTAGACAACATCAGTGATGTAATTATTGTTCACACATCCAAATGAAACAATGTCAGTTAGCTTCTTACTTGACTGCTGATATTTTTTCTTTATTCTTCTTTGCTAGTACTTTACATATTTGATATAAGAAATGTGTATAAACAAATTTTTTTTTTTTTTGCCATAAGTCACTGTCCAAGAGGCATTATGTTCAATACCAGAAATGAACAAATAATCTAGACCTATGACATTTAGAAGCACATCTGAAATTATATTTGTATGCAGCCTCAGAAATTCAGTGCAGTAAAGTAAAATGCCTAAGCTGGTGAAACAACAAGTTTTCTTAAGCTTAAAACATGTGATTGAAACCATGTTTAACTGCAGGCATTTGTCTTCATATTTTTCTTAATTAGCTCTTTAAGAATTTTATAAAACATTTTGTCTTTACTAAGTAATTTCACAAAGTCACACATAATTTTCAGAATAAATTTTTCACACATGTCATATTTCAAATAGGGAGTAAAGAAAATCAAAGAGATTGCTGCACGAATAGGTCAGACTCAGAGAGATTGTGGTCTGTTAGAACCTGTAATGGATTTTGTGGACCAATACAAGTTTGGACTGACAGAAGTGGTGTATGAATGGGCTCGAGGAACGGTAGGTTGACCACTTAAGTATATGATATTAATAGATTTTTAAAAATTAAAACGTTGATTAAGCCTTTTTTTGTAAATAAATTTTCATATTTACAAAAAATATAAGTAGTCTACATTTTTAACATTAAAGAAGCTCTTCTATAACAAAATCTCAGTTTTGTTTTCCTCTGAAGGTACATTCTGCTGTTCCATTAATTTGTTTTATATTGGAGAACACTAGCAAGCATTAAAAATAATACTTTTTAATGTTTGTTAGTGTTCTCTACACCAGAATATTTGTACAAAGAAAATGTTTTTTAAAAGCTTGGCTTATTTTTTATTTTAACTAATATATATATATATATATCTAGGTTAATGGATTTGTTGAATACTGCTTTTCCAAATAAACAAAAAAAGACAAATATAAACATTTTTATTTCATCAAAAATTGGTGTAGAAAACAATGGTAAATCTCAGGATAAGTAGCTGGTAAAAGTATTAAAGAATTAATGGTAAAAGCACTTGCTTCCTGCTCTGTGAGCCTCTGCAGTACAGTTGAGTGTCGTACGTAAGCAATTTTCTGTGTTTAATTTCAGAAACAAGCATCTTCTAACATTTTGATCTGACATAATTCTTGGTATCTTTGTAGCCATTTGCAAAAATTACAGACTTGACAGATGTTCAGGAAGGCATTATTGTCAGATGCATTCAAAGGCTGGATGAGACTCTAAAAGATGTGAGAAATGCGGCAAGAATTATTGGTAACCCAGTCTTACATCAAAAAATGGTAGAGGCTTCTGACCTGATAAAAAGGGACATTATATTTGCTGCCAGTCTTTACACCCAGAATGTGTAGTAAAATGGTTAAACATGTTTATAAAACTTTTTAAGTAAAAAGCTTTAAATATTTAGTTTTTCGTATGAATTGTAACTTAATTTATGTAATCAAACTCATGGAAAATTATAATTTCGATTATAAAATTTTCATTAAGTGGGAAAAGGCAATGGATTTCAAATTTAAGGAGAAATACATTTTGTTTAAAAATTCGAGAATTTAAAAATATATTTAAAATTTGTTCAGTATTCCCATTTCGAAAGAGTTATATAAAGTTTAATAAAAAGCTATGTTGTGAAAAGGTTCTTGTAGCTCACACTAATTTTGGCATGAAAGGCAAAATTCAAAATATTCACTTATACCTGTTTCTACCTTGTTATAAAAGGTAGTTTGTTCTTTTGGTTACCGTTTTATAAAACCAGTATCAATTTAATTTCATAGCTATCTCTAGCTTTGTATATTTCTGTGTAATAAATTGCGTTATGAAACATTGTGTATGGCATAGATTTTTTAAGGACTGTTGACCATTATTGTATTAAAAACTGGACATTTGTCTTTTTAGTAAATTAATATTCTGTACATACTGCAGTGTTCTCCATTATTGAAAATCTAAGAAATTTTTGCCAACAAAGTATGGTGGATTTTTTGGTTAATTCTTTTAGCAACAGCATTATTAAACAAATATATTTAATACCTCCGGTACTTTCATAGTAATGACTGAAATATTTACAAACACACGATATTATAAAATTTATTTTTGAAGTACGTTATTTGTAAGATATTTTCGACCATTAATTCAACTGCCATTGGTAGTTGCAGCAAGAGTTTAAAATTTTAGTACAAATGAACAAATTTAAGCAAATGACATGGGAATAACATTTGATTTATAGTATGAACTAATCTTTGTCTAGTAGTATTGTTATAAAAATCTCAAAATAGCTAATACAGAGATAAGTTGCGATAGTTTTTTTTTTGTTTTTTTTAAGAGAGGTTGAAGATGACCCACAAGTTAGGCCTCTCATTTTGCACTTGTTAAAATGGCGTCTTGTTGTTATTACTAATCTTTACGAATATCCTTAGAAAAGCTCTTGTATTCAGTTCTAAAAGAGTTCCTCTAAAGAACTTAATGTTTAACCCTCGGGGACCCTAATATCTCGATAAACACATTAAATAACATATACTACAACATTAAGTTTCAATCAATCCTGATAATGCCGATAAAGGGGGATTATTTACCGTATTGCTGAAGTGTTAAAATAAACACTAGATTTGAATACAAAGTCATCAATTAGTAACTGGCCCTACCCTCCAGTGGCATGTCTATGGAATTATAACACTGAAAACCGGGTTTCGATACTCATGGTGGGAAGAGCGCAGATAGCCCATTCTTTGTGCTCAACTACAAACAAAATTAGTAACGACCACTTTCCGAGGAACAACACATATGTTAGTAGTTAATTGCACTTTACATGTATTTGTTTTCCCAAGAATGAAGATTTTGTAATATATGCTCCCATAATGTGAAACAAGTTTTAGATGTAAAGTCTTTGTAAAATTAAAAATAACAAAAAATATGATTCTGGTCATTGAGCCTCTTCTTTTTTTTTCTTTCGCCAAATTTACACAAGGAATATCTTCGCTAACCATCTCTAATTTTGAAATTACAGACTAGAGAGATGGCAAGTAGGCAACAACACTCACCGCCAACTAGTAGGCTACTCTAATCGAAGACTTGTTCTTATTGTCACTCGTATAACCTACAAAGAGTATATCAGGTAGGGAGTTGGCTTGCTTAATTGACACTTTTAACTTTGAAGATACAGGCGACTTTGCATTTGCATGGGCTGAGTGTTCAAAACATGCTGGTCCTTATAAAGAAAAAGTCAAAGCTTTTTTTTTTTTTTTAATTATGGTTGGTAATTCCCACAAACTTTCACCTGAGCAGATGCTCATGCAATTAGAGTACATGAGTACAAGCTTCCACCGTCATGGGTACAGACTTCCATCAATTTCCAAGATAAAGCTATATGACCCAATAGTTTGCAAGCAGCGGCAGACATCAATTTTCAGGGTATCACAGCAAGACTAAAATGTTATGAAAAAGTGAAAGGCGGGAAGGAGAAGTTTTTTTGCAGTGATATATCACATGCATACTGGGACCAGTAATGTTGTAACAGACTTTGAATTTTGGACCGATAGCATCATACTAGCGCTATAGTAATTGCACTGCTGACTTGTCAACACCAAAGGTTAGGCGTTGAGATGTGGTCAAGGCATGCAAGAGTTATCTTCACGGTTTCATAGAAATGTCGGAAGACTGACATGTTAGAGGCAGTCATTTGGTTGTAAGCACCAGCTAACACTGATAGCCAGTTCCCAACTAAGCAGTAAGTTCAATCATATATCTTATAATGCTTCATAGGCAGAGTACACGTGTCGATTGGTAGACTTCCTAGTGTGAAAGTCGAACGCGTATTTTGTTTACGTATTTTATTAGTATAGTTTCTCCATTATGGTGGTTCTGTAGTTAATAACCACCCCATACATTTTCGTACTAAACACACACACATATATGTATTGTTTTGCTTATCTTATCATAAGTATGCAGCTTTAAGTTCAATAAAATGTATAGTATCTGGATATATTTAAACACACTATGATCTACAAGAAGAGTTAGTGGGGATATGACTGAGATGTTTGAAGTTTTTAAAGAAAATGATAGTGTTGATGCATCAAGTTTTTTCGTACTTACTGGTAAGACTAGGAGACACACATATAAATTCTCGGTACTTACTGGTAAGACTAGGAGACACACATATAAATTCTCGCAGGGTAGGAATCATCTTCAGCTAAGATAGTTTTATTTTTCTAACAGGATGTTTGGAAAGGGTTGCCTTCAGATGTGGTGGATACAATTACTTAAAGGGAGTTTAAGGGAAAGGTTGATTAATATTTGAATGATAAGGGTTGGCTTTGAGTGTTTTATTTTAAAGTTTGGTTCAGTGGATGCGACGGTCTAGATAGACCAACAAGTCCATTGTTGTCCCTTACTTTTAATTAATGTAATACGTAATACTTCTCCATTTGGCACCTTCAGATCATGGGTATTGCTCAAGGGGGTTATGATGATCATGGCACACGTCTCATGTTTGGAAGGGGAAATCTCTATGACCAAAAGGCGCATCAACAATTTTCTTAATTCATTCTCCATATATTATAACATAATGTTCACAGACTCAAATATAATAACGCAATAAACCAAATTTCAAAACACATAAAAAAGTTTTTATTGCGAATCGGCTGTTTATTAGAAATATGAAATTTTAACGAAAGAAAGTTACACCGTAGACGTATCGCGCGAATATTCTAAGAAGTATTTTAAGATGTTTATTTAAAAGAAAAATTGTTGTTAATACAGAAGAGCCCCCAGTGACACAGCGGTATGTCTGCGGACTTACAACGCTAGAATCCGGGTTTCGATATCCGTGGTGGGCAGAGCACAGACAGCCCATTGTGTAGCTTTGTGCTTAATCAAAAACAATACAGAAGAATTCAATTCTAAAAATCTACCTTTGTTTATAGGCTATGGCCTATAGGGCTACATTATGAATGTCAAATTTTCTGAGCAGTGCTTAACCTGAGAAATATAAATAATATATAGCTTTTGAATGGACATGAATCACGAGTCTTTCGAGTTAAAGGGTTAAAATATTTTATGTGATAAAAATAGAAATTAATAACAATACGGTACAACACCTATAGTAAAGTATACAACAATAAAACGAACTTACAATGTCCAGTATTTCCGAGCAATTAAGTTACAACCAAACACGTCTTTTAACGAGTAATATTGTCCTCTATACAGAAAATATAAGGTCCGCAAATTAAGTTAACAAATTTATTAACTTTTTTTTTTCTGAATAATATTATCTGCAATACAGAAAATATATGGGTGTCCAGAAATTATTAACATTTATTTCATAATGTCTTAAAATTCCTATTGTTGATCCGTCATGCCTGCAACATTGTACCCTTTTCATTTATAAATTACAAAAATGAGTACATTTGATGTCCCACCGGGGGATTCAAAGGTAAGAATGAAAGCTTATAACACTAAAAACCGGGTTTCGATACCCGTGATGAGTACAACACATATATCCCATGTGTAGTTTTGCGCTTAATAACAAGCAAACAAAATTATTGTTATTAAAACAAAGTTCACCCATACACAGTTAAGTTATCTCTTATTGTTGATTCACCTATTGTTCGATAAATCATTTCACAACTTTTAACTGGACCAGAGATCCAGGGTCCATGAAACCAAACCCAAAGAATTTTCACACCAGGTATATAATTGAGTGGCTAACGCTGAAGTGTGGTATTTATCATTATGTTTGGTAAGTAATACGAATACTTTCAAAAAACTAAAGTGATGTGAATTTTACAGTACTTGTGGTTTGAGTGTTGCTCAGTTGTTAGAATGATCAGGCTGTGATCCCCAGATTCATAGTTCGAACAGAGAAGACTTAGTGTTGGTTGCTATTGCCTGGAAGCCTTTCCTCTAGTCTATTAGCTCAGAATTTGGGACGACAATAAGCAGATAACACTGGTGTAATTTTGATAGAAATTCTAAAACATATACACTCTATCTAAATCGATAGCCAGTCACGACTCAGTAAATAGATTTAGTGCAAAAAAAAAACATCCGACTTGTTAAATAATTACATAAATTATTATCTATTTTTATAGTTTGTTTGTGGCCCTTTCACACATTCTGACGACCCATGACCTAGTGATTAGCGAGCTGAACTATGAATCTGATGATCCGTGGTTGGCGTCTCATACCCGTAAAAAACGTGCTCCTCACTTTAGGGCGGTTGGTGCGTTATTAGAGTGACAGTCAAATTTCGCTTTCGATTAAAATATTCCAAGAGTTGGCAGTGGTGTTGTTGACGAGCTACCTTTCCTCTAGCTTGTTATTTCAAAATTAGGGACGGCTGGTGTAGACAGCCCTTGTGTAGTTTTGCGTGAAAAGTCTAAACAAACAAAGAGTTTACGGTTGCTAATGCCAGTGATTAGTTACAAACTATTACCGTTTCGACAGCATTTTAATTTTGCACAGTTCAAATTTATTATTTTTACTGAGAAAAGAAAGGATTGAACATATATTTTCAGTGCGTGTTAATTGATACAGTGAAATCCAAAACACTTTTTCATAGCTAACATATCTTCATTATATCATACTGTTGAAATGTCCACGTTAAATTTTGCTGTTCTATTACTAACTTAATAACATTCTATCATGTTTATAAACATACGAAATATCTATTTCATTTAATGTGTTATATTCTACCAGTTTATAAAATTTTGCTCAACTGGCCTTTCGTTTATGAATTAATCACTGAGGAAACTTTCGTTAGTTTATTTATATTTCAAGATATTAATGCTCTCCAGTGTTTGTTTGTTTGTAGTTAAGCACAAAGCTACA